AAGAACACGAGGCCACCCGCCGGCCAAAACAACCCAAACCATACGATCACTCGAGAATCTCATCCCCCAGGATGCCCCTAAAACGTCCCACAAACAGTTTTTTTTTTGCGCCGGCGGCTAGGCAGAGTAACTGCGCTGGCGGAGAGCTAACTAAACGGGGGTGCCGTTGTAGCGAAGTGCGCCACCATGCAGGAGAAGGGGACAGGGCAGAGGAAGCGGCCGAAGGAGGGGGCGGGAAGGGAGCGAGGCCTCTCAGGGGGACGGGTCACGCCCTGAGCGCGTGGAACATCCCACGAGCACGAAGAACAATAGGTTACCCTCCGCGAGCCGACCTCGATCTTGTACCTCGGTCCGGCTGTCTGATTGTTTGTTCAATCCGCGACCCCCCAGCAGCTCCCGACCCCTGCCCCTGGGGGTAGTGCCTCGCCCCGTGGATCCCATGCTGGTGGCCCCGAGGCCCGAAGACGGGCCCCAGAGGTCGAGATCGAGGGGCGCGGCCCAGATCGAACAAATCTCATCGTCGCTGGCGGCCCGCTCAAGCCGCCGCGTTAGGCCGCTATGCAATCTCGCGTAGGACCCGCTCTTGATCGTGGAAAAAACGCAGCGTGCCGCGCTCGCGTCCCGCGTAAGCTGTGGCGTAAGGCCGCTGTGCCATCTCGCGTGAGGCCCGCTTTTGAAAGCCGCTCGCGCGGTCGCCCAGCTTCCCCGAGCTGTTTCGGGGCCCCTGCCATCGAGGCGGAGCCCAGAGATCCGGGGTTCCCAGTCCCAGCTCTCATTGGCCATGCTGCGGAGAACCCACGAGCTGGCCTGGCAGGGCCGTCCTGCCGCACCGCCCGAGCGGCAACGGCCAGGCCGCCCGGCGCAGCGAGAGAGGGTCGGGGGGACGATCAGCACCGCCATCGGCTCGCGAGGCTCTGGCCGGAGACTCCGGACCCTCTGGCGCCAACCTGATCGGACAAGAACGCAGAGCGCCGCGTTTGTCCGTTAGGCTCGAACGTAAACCACCAAAAAGCAGAGGGCGACGAGAAGGCGGCCGATGACGAGGATGACGGCATGGATGACGGGGAGAGCAGCGAAGCTCTGGCCGGAGAGTCTGGACCTTCTGGCGCCAATCCGCCGGTGCCCGTGGCGCCGCACAGTCACCAGGCATTCGACTGCAACTGTCGACCTCTTGAAGCCCAACTCCACAGGAACGGCCCCTCGGTGTACCAGCTTTTGACGACAAGAGGGGGAAGAAGCCTGTGCTGGGTGCGGGCGGCAAACAATAAAACGCAAACTAGAAAACGGACAACGGAAAACGGAAACCGGAAAACGGAAAACGGAAAACGGATACCGGAAAACGAAAAACGGAAACCGGAAAACGGAAAATGGAAAACGGAACTCGGAACTTCGCTTTTTTGCCCAAGCCGGGAACCGGAAAACGGAAAGCGGAAAACGGAAACCGGAAAGCGGAAACCGGAAACCTAAAAACGGAAACCGGAAAACGGAAAACGGAATTTGGCTTTCTGCCAAAACCGGAAAACAGAAACCAAAAACCGGAAAACGGAAACCGGAAAACGGAAAACCGGAAACCGGCAAACGGAAACCGGAAAACGGAACTTCGTTTTCTGCCCAAACCGGAAAACGGAAAAAGGAAACCGGAAACCGGAAAACGGAAAACAGAAACCGGAAACCGGAAAACGGAAGCCCGAAAAAAGAAAACGGAAAACGCAACTTCGTTTTCTGCCCAGACCGGAAACCGGAAAACGGAAACCATGGAACGGAAACCGGAAAACGGAAACCGGAAAACGGAAAACGGAAAACGGAGTTTCGTTTTCTGCTCCAGGGTTCAGTTTTCCGTTTCCGTTCCGGTCCTGCGCGCCTGCTGACCGGAATCATCTGCGGTGGTGTTCTGGCCTCGGCACGGCACTGCGCCCAGACGAGGGCACAGCTCCTGGGCGTCACAGGGTTGCCTGCCGCCCCAGAGCGTCGGGGGACGCCAAGGGAGAAGAATCTCGGCAGCACGGGGGCGATGAACTCCACGATGGAGAGGGCCTTCGAAGCCTGAACACGTCTGGCGCGGAGCAACCGCCGCGAACGCGGGGCCGGCCGGCCGGCCGGCCGGCCGTCGAAATTGCGAAGCCACCCTACGCTTGCGCCCAGAAAGCATGGGAGATGTGGTGGGGGAGCCCAAGAGAGCCCTGGGAAAAAACACCCTTCACGAACGCAAAGCCCCCTTAGAAGAGTCGATTCAGCATCAGTGCCACCGCGACGCACTCACTGCGGCACCGTCTCATGATCAGTCTTGGTCCGAGTCGGAGTAGTCGTTGTACTCATTGTTTTCGCCCAGCACATCCACAGCTTTGCTTGACTCCAAGCACGAGCAGGACAGCCTGCCTCAAGCCCTTGGGTGACCCGTCCTCGCAGTTGTTGCCCACCATGTCTTTGGCCTCTGTCAGGCGCACGGTGGTCGCGGATACCTCGTTCACGAGCGGCGCTGCTCGCATGGCCTGTGCAAGTCGCCAGCTTCTTCAGGCCCTCTGGGATTCACGCCCTTCGGGGCACATGTTGTGCTGCTTCACGGCCTGGCCCCACTCGCTTGGGGGCCCCCCGGTCGCCAAGGGCGCTTCGTTTTCCTGGCCAGAGTGCGAGGCGCGCGCAATTCGGCCGTGCCCGGCTGCGGCAGCACGCCCTGAAGCGTCGGGACCGGTTTGGCCGCCTTCACGTTCTTGTGCTTGGACTGGCTGAGATTATTGTGATTCGCATTCGTATTATGAAAATTTTGGTTGGCCTCCTGGCGCCACCGTGCTGTTTGCAGCGCCAGCTTTGTCACCCAGTCAGCCATAGTTTTCCCGCGGGGCGTACAAGCGCCTTGCGCGGTAGCTTCCTTACCCGCCAGCGTCCTGGAGTGCAGTCCGACGCCCCTGAGCATGCAGCCTGACGCGCGCCGAGGCGCGCGGACCCCGCGCCTTCCTGAAGGGGCCATTCGCCACTGCTTCGGGAGCCGTTGCCCCCTTATGTGAGCTATCCGAGCCTTGACGTTCGCGCCCGCGGCCAGAGGGGAAATTAACTGCAGGAGAGGGAGGAAAATTCGTCCCTGCAAACAGTCATCAGCATTGACACGTGGGTTTGGACATGCAGCGACAGTACACATGTCACCAAATACCTCTTCGAGGTAACTGAAACTGTTCTGCAATGAAGAAGAGAGCAGGAGAGGGGATGGGGGAGGAAGTGGGGGGAGTCGGCGGGAAGGAACAAATTGCGTTTACTGGAGACGTGCCGCGTGGCACTGGCACGACGGTCTGTCGTTAGCCCTTGCCGTAGTCGCGCGTTACTACGCGAAGGCTGGGGCTCGGGCTCATCTTCGATGCGAGGGTGGCGAATGGGGAGGGAGTTCGAGCCGCTGCCGAAGACGACGCTTCCTACGGCTGCTGCTTGGGCCGCCTTCGAGTCGGAGCATCCAGCGCTGCTGGCCCAGCGCGAAATCAAGCGAGCCTTTTTACGACGTGCTCGCGCCCCACGGCATGGGAGATTTTGCGCGCGCCCACATCATGTCAAACCGGCTGCTGGGCGTCAAGCAGATCGACGGGGAGCCGCTGGCCAGCGGTTGCTACCTGCAGCCCGCAGTGCGAGTGCTTCCCGCGGGGCGGAGCTGGTCGCTGTTGTTCTGCCAGGGGGCCATGAGAAGGGCTCTGATCGAGAACGGCTTCGGCGACGGCGACTTGAGTGAGGATGGCCACCCCTGCCCTGCCCTGCGTTCGCGGGGCTTCGCGCAGCTGGCCACGTCGACATCTTCGCCGTCGCCGGCGGTGGCGCGGCCGTCGTCGCCGCCGGACAGGGCCAGATCACGCGCACTTTGAAGTCGCGGGGGCCCCCCGCCCATCCGACTGATAAGGCCTCGCCCGTCTCCATCTTCACGGGCCTTGAGATCGACGGCATCTTCGGCGCCGTGCGAGCGGGGTCCTCCAGCGCCATGCGGCCTCGGCAGGCGGCCCCGGCAGTCTCGCGACGAAGGGCCGCGTCGCTTTGCATGCCCCAAGTTCTGTTGGAGCACATCACTTGGGCAATGATTTGCAAAAGAATGGCCCTCCCCATCTTGTCCTCGGTCTATGCCTTCAAGTGGCTGTTGGATCCTGGAGCGAGGCCCTTGTGGGCCTCGGTGGGTTTCGAGCTGTGGCGCGTCGCTAGCGCGCTACCGCTGACGACGCGCATGAACAGTCCCGGGGCGCGCGCGCCTCGGCCTCGGATGCCTTTCCCATCGGCATTGGGGCGTGCACTCGCCAGCTCGATGGGCCCCGCGCGGGCGAGATGGGGAGGCAGGCGTAGTTGCGCAGGCGCCGATGTACATCATCAGTTTCGGCACTGGCTAACGCGCCGGGCCTGGGCGGGCCCTTTCCACTCCGACCTTCTGGAGGCTGTCATCTTGGACTCGGTCAAGTCGTCCGACCCCGAGGGCTTCGATGAGGGCTGTCTCGAGATCCCCGGGGACGTCGCCCAGGCCTCGTCGCGGGCCGCCGTCATCTCCAGGAGGCGCTGGAAACCGCCCGAGAACATTCTGGTGCACGAAGGCGATGCGCTGCGCGATGCTGCGCGGCATGCTACGCGCAGCGTGTCACTACATTATCACCGCGTTCTCCTTCTTGTCGATGACCTACCTTCGGCTCTGGCGGCAGTGGAGGGACGGGGGCGGAAACTCACCCTTCGGCGGCCCTCGCGGATGCTTGCAGATCACGCACGCGCCGCAACGCGCTGGCTGCCGTCGGAGCGGAACGCGGCCGACCTGGCCCCCCCCGTCGCGGTTTCTCCCACGGCAAAGGCTTCGCGGAGGCGGTCGCGGCGCCAGACGACGCCGCCCCCTTGGAGTCAGATGTTGGTGACGGTCAGAACCGCCCAGGACCTGGGGCACCCGTGCCCTCGGGATCTCGCCGCGGGGGCCATCGGCTTCTTGGAGATGTCGGCCATCGCGAATTGGAACGAGAGGTCGGCGCCGTGGCCGCGCGGCGTTTCTTGGCTGGCGCGAGAACGACTTCCACAACATCGGCCAGCTGGGCGCGGCGGCGGTCGCGTTTCTGACCGATCTGGCCTTGGACGGGTTCGACACGGCGAACAGCAGGATGACGGTGGCGGCGCTCAGGCATGTCTTGCCTCATCTGCTGGGGGGCAAGTGGCCCCTCCCACGAACTGCTGCAGCGTTGCGCTGGGCGGTTGGCGAAGGCTCGCGCCGCCCCTGATGCGCCCACCGCTGCCGAGGTCGGCGGCGATGGCGGTGGCGGGGTGGATGACATGGATGAACCCGCCCAGTATGGCCGCCTTCGTGGCGCTGGTCCTCCGCGCGTGCCCGAGGCAGTCGGAGGCTCATCGGCCGCGCGCGGGTTCGCTGGCGCCGCCGATCGCGGGCTCGGGTTTCAACGCTTGGGGCCTCATCGTGAACGACGCGAGGTCGGGCCGTCCTGGCATTGCGGGGGCGCCCGACGAGCTGGTGCTCGTCGACGCCCCCGAGCTCTGGCCCGCGCTGCACGCGCCGACGCTCAACGCCCCCGCGGACGCGAGTCTCTGGAACTTCAGGCCCGCCGGCGCGGGCACGAAGTTCGCCCTGGCGCTGCGGGAGCTGGGGGCGCAGCAGGGGCCCCCGTCCCCGCGCGCCCTCCTTCGCGGGGGGGCCTCTCACGATTTGCTCTCGGGGGCTCGGTCGATGGCAGAAGCGACGGAGAGAAGGGGGGGGATCTCAGACAAGACTTTGGGGCGGCGCGGCAAGCGGATTAGGATGCAGCGGATCGGGGGCCCGCCGCCAGACGCGGCCGTCTTCGGGAGCCAGGTCTTTGGCAGGATGGCGGGGCTCATCGAGACCAAGTTCCTGTCAGGCCCCTTTCCCGTTGCCAGTGCCTCTCCAAGCGTCGCCCACCGCTTCCCGGGCCGCGAAGCAGGCACTTGTTGTGGCCGCGCGCTAGGTGCTCGGACGGGGTCGGCTTTTCGACGTGCTCATGCGCGGGCGCCCCGCCGTCGTCGGCCCGCGCTGCCAGCGGTCGGGTGTCCCGCGGGGCCCGCGGGGCCCCGAGGCCCCCGCGTGCAGCGCGCTGCGCGGTCGCGGTCCGGGGTGTCCCAGGCTTGGTGCAGGTCGGACTGCGGGCCTCGGTCTGACCGAGCGGGTCGTCGTCGATCGACTCTTGGGTTGGATTTCGATCGTCGGCGGTCTGCGCTCGATGGCTGTCCTTGCCGCGGGGGTCTTGGATCGGGTCTGGGTCGCCTCCTGCTCGCGCTGTCTCAGACCCGCGGGGGCAGTCTGCCCGCGCGCCCTCACTCGCCAAGCTGTCGTCCTTTCGGCGCGGCAACATTGGGCCGCAAGCCGCCATTAGGATAATTCGCGCCCGCGTCGACCACCCAGCGTCCGTGTGCCCAGAGCATTTTAGGTCTAGCCTCATATGGTCCTTGCCTGAGCTGAGAGCTTTGATGCAACGCCCGTCGTTTGATGAAGTCGACCTGGACCTCTGTCAGTTCGGGCCCGCCACCCGTTGGGCCACGGATCCAGCATCTCAGGTCGCTTCGCGGCGCGCGTGGCATGATATGCTCTTTCTCGGGGCGGCCCCATTTGCAAGTTGACGGCCGCGCGGCCAGACGCACAGCGCGCAGACACAACGCTGCGCGCTCCCCCGTCAGAGCTGCCGACTTAGTCGCGGATTCCCTTCTCAGTGCGATTGATGACTCGTCTCGATCCAGATTGTATAGTCTTGCCAGCCTTCGGCCATAGGGTGATGCTACACGATGTACGTATGTGCTGCCTGCGAGTGTACGCGTCCACTCGAGGAGCCGAGGCATCGCTTCCTGCCATCGCCACCGTCAGGTTCTCCAAAAGCATGGTATGGCCGCGGCGGCCCTCCTCGGCATCATCATCAGCATCACCATCCTCCTCCTCACCATCATCATCGTCATCATCTACATCATCCCCATCCTCAGCCTCAGCCTCAGCCTAAGGTTCAGTCTAAGCCTCAGCCTCGCGCGTGCGTCTTCAACGCAACCTCGTGCTGCAGTGCCTGAACGAAGGGCGACGACGACGACGACGTCGTCGACGACGACGGCAAGGCCCCCCCCGCCCCGCTGGAGGCCGCGCGCTGCACCACCTGTCCCGCCGGCGGCTGGCCGGCGACGCCGCAGAGGCTCGGAAAGGGGGGGGGGGCGCGAGGAGGGCACAGGGGGCGGCCAGGAGGGGGAGGCGCCGGCGGGGCGGTGGGGATTGGCGCGAGGGGCATCGGGGGTGGCCAATGGTGGAGGGGTGTGATGACCAGTCGGCGGCGAGCGAGGGGGGGAAGCGAGAAGGGAAAGGCCTCCTAAAAAGGCGGCGGGGCTTCTCAGAAGCCCCCGCGCCTTCTGAGAAGTTTTCTGTTTATTCGGGGAAGGTTTAGAAAACTTTTCAAAAGGCTGGGGAACTTCCGACCCTTCTGAGAAGGCCCGCCCCTTTTCATTTCCCCCCCAGACGCGCCGCCAAACCAGGAATGGGTGGGAATCATGGCCGGGCCTGGAGCCGTCTGGAGTTCTGAGGTGGCCCAGCACTGGTTCCAGCCAGCACGAAGGGGGGGCAGGTTCGAGGTTTGGGTTCGGGCAGGTTTCTTGCCTTGCTCCGCCACTGGGGGGCGTCTTCGGGCCCTGGGACCATCAAGAACAGATCCAGGGGGAAAAATTGCTACGTACGCACCTCGGGAGGGGTCCGGGGACCAATTTTGAGCGGATTTGACTTCATCCACCCTTCTTGACCGATTTTCTGGGACCCCATCCAGTTCAGACCCCCGGGCCGCCTCCAAGCTGGGGCCACGATATCTCCCCAGATGTCATGGCCCCCCCTTTTCATTTCCATACGTTCCCTGTCCCCCTCTCGTCCGTGCACGTGCCTCGGGGTGGGCGGTGGGGGGGGGGCGCACATAGGGCATCGGGGGCAGCCAAGTGGGGGGGTGATGACCAGGGGGGGGATGGATGTGGTGGCCGGGGCCATGATTCGGTCGGGAATTTTTGGTTCGGGACGACCACACTGGGTACGGAAGGAATGGGCACAAAAGACCGACAGGGCTCGCTGTTGGCATCGCCGCAGACGTGGTCCATTTGAGACAGAAGGCCGCCTGTCCAACAGCGGCGTTGTTGGGCGTTTTTGCTGTCATTTGAGGGGGGGCGCCCTTGAGTATTCAGGCCTGGATCTTTGTATTCTGACTTCGGTTTTCTGACTTCAGGGCTCCGTTCCTTCAAGAACTGTCAGTTCGCGCTGTGCACGCCCCTGGCACTCACGCACGAGGATTGTGTGTTCCTGAGCGTGGTTTGCCCTCCCCCCGCGCGCTCCTCCTCCTCCTTTTCCACCTCTTCCTCCTCCTCCTCCTCCTCCTCCTCCTCCTCCTCCTCCTCCTCCTCCTCCTCCTCATTTTCTTCCTCCTCTTCCTCCTCTTCCTCCTCCTCCTCCTCCTTTTCCTCCTCCTCCGTAGCCATTTTGGCTCAAGCCCCTCTGGGCCCGAGGGAGGCTCGGGCCATCCCCGTGCGCTCTTCAGAAGGGCGCCGCACGGGGGAGCCAAAGGCGCCGCATGCTCCTCCGTGTGCTGTTACCTCAGGCGCTCCTGGCGTGCGACGGGGCCACCGCGGGCGTGGCAAAGTTGGCGGAGGAGGTGCGGGAGCACAGCTTCGACGTCCACGAGCTCGCGGTGGAAGTCCTGCCACAAGGAGTTCCTGATGGCGAAGTACACGACGAGCACGGCGGCCAGCTCAGTGGTGGTGGGCCGGCACAGGCCGCTGTTCCCAGTGACGTGGGCGCCGTCGGAGCCGCCCCCGGGCTTCTGGGGAGAGGAGACCGCGCCAGTGTCGTGGCGCGGGGCGAGGCCGCCGCTGGAGATGAACCCCACGGAGGCGAGGAGAATGGAGGAGACCAGACTGTTGGACGCGCCATTCTCCAGCCTGGACGTGATGACGCCCCTGGAGGAGGAGAAGGGCAAGGCGGAGGCGCTGGCAGCGGTGGAGGCGCCGCAGCAGAAGGCGCCGGTGACCCAGCAGCACGGCAAGCAGGAGTACGTGAAGAAGGAGGTGGTGGAGACGGCTCTGGTGGTGGTAGCTGCGCCGCGTCAACAAGCGGCGACAAGCAAGCAGAGCATGAAGGTGAGGCGCTCGCGGTCGCGGAGGAGGAGGAGGAGGGCCCCCCCTCATCCGGCAGCTCGGACGCCAGGAAGGAGAAGGCTGAGAAAGAATTGGAAAAGGCCAAGAGGGTAAAGAAAGGGAGGACTCGGACACGCTCGCCTTCCAAGCGGGCGAAGACGCCGACGAAGCAGGAGGAGGCCAGGCGGTCACGGACACGCTCACGCACAAGGTGGACGGCGACAAGGACGAGGGGACTGGGGTGGTCGCCGAAGGTCGTGAAGTTCCCGGAGGCTCCGTGGGCTTTATGCGATTGCCAAGGGGAGCTCGGAGGTTGACCTCGATGCGGAGGCAGCGGCCCGCTACGACTTCGAGGACTGCTTCGAGGATGACGTGAAGACGGCCGCGGAGCAGGACAGTGAGGCTGACGACGGCCTATCCACGACGAAGATCGACGAAGGCGGCTTGGGCGGCTTGTCTGGGCCTCGCGGCGTCGTCGAGGCCAGACCTGGCGCATCGGACGTCAAGGACGCCAAGAAGCAGAGGAAGAATAACAAGAAATGCAAGGAAAGTGTCGCAACGGGCTCCCCCCTGCCCTCGGTGCCGCCTTTCCCCGCGTTCGAGGGGGCTGGCGCCAAGAAGGAACTCATCGATGAGAACGTCCTCGCGCAGCTGCCCAAAGATGCCCTCAAGGATGTGCTGAGCCTCGTAGATGGCGGATTATTCGATGAGCTCGGCGCCGAGAGCAAGGAGAAGGTCAGCGCCTTCACGACCTGGCTGAAGGACAACCTCAAAGGTACCTGAGGGACTGACCTCCCGCAGTTTGGATCGAGGAGCTGCCTCTGTACTTCGCTGAGTGCTTGGAGGTCTGCTTCGTGTATCAGGCTCGCGTGTCGCCATCCCAGCGCCTGCTGGGATGGGGGGCCGCAGGGCGTTTCTCCCTGGGGGGGGGGGGGGCCTACTCCTGTGGGGTTCTGCGGGGCTCCTGTCCCGGTCCCTGGGCTCCTGTGGGGCTCCTTTGGGGCTCCTCTGGGGCTCCTGTGGGGCTCCTGTGAGCGCTTTGCGTTTTCTGGGTCGGGCTCGGCTCGGCCGTGGCCCTTTCGGGGCCGTGCCTCGGCATTACCTCGGGGGGGGCTGGCACCTCCTTGGGGTCGGGGCGGCGTGATCGCCCGCCGCGGCGAGCGAGGGATTCTTGGATTCCTCGAGGTAGTCTTCAGACTCTTCAGAGCCTCCTCCTCCCCCTCTTCCTCCTCCTCCTCCTCCTCCTCCTCCTCCTCTTGCCGCGCCTGCTTCCCCGTGCCGCAATTCGCTACGGATGCGCCCCGCCGTCGCTCGAACGCTGCTTGAGTCAAGTTGCCGCAGACCGGAAGCTCTGGGGTCAAGATGAAACAAAGACACACAAACACACACACACACACACACACACTCACCGGAAACAAATGATCGCCGATTCCCGTGAAAATATGGGAACATATGAGAAGCGCGGGGGGAGACGAACCTCAAGGAAATATGGACATATATCGGGGATCCTGGGATTTGTGTCCATTTCTTCGTGTGCCCCTGGGCCCCGCAATGGGGGCCCCCTGCCTCGAGGACGTGGCGCATCCCCGAGGGGGCGGCGACCCCCGCAGTGGCGACCCCCCAGGGCAACACTGCTCGGCAGGAGGCGTGGAGGCGGACCGTCCAGGAGGGCCAACCAGCCGCAGCGAGGATGCCGGCGGGCGTTTTCGTCGGTCCTCGGCGGCTCAGAGGTTCAGCCGCGAGGTTCGAGGTTCGTTGTTTCGAGGTTTTCGGGCGGTTTCGTCGGTTCTGGGTGGCTATCGGGCCTCGGGGTGCTCTCCAGCGGCTGCGCCTTGCCGAGGGCGTTCCGGGTTTGCCCGGATCGCCCCAGACGTCCGCTGGAGGCTGGCCCATAAACCATCCGGCTCGCGTAGAAGGGAGAAGGGGGCGGGGGGAAGGCTTTTTAGAAGCACCCTGCTTCCTAGAAGGCGCGAGCCTTGCCTACAGATGTGAGGCCGGCGCCTTCCAAGAAGCAGGCTCCCAAGAGGCCTTCCCCCGTTCCCCCACCCCCGTGTGCGCGACGCCAAGGGGTCGACTAGACGTAAGAGTGGCCCTTCGCCAGAGTGACCTTTAGTGCGGGCCCATTGGGGTCCCCCGATCGCCGAACGCGATGCGATAGTAGCGAGTAGCGTCTTGCGCGCCTGTGTTTGGGCCCCCCGCGGCCCCCAGAAAGCTGCGCTCCAAAGGTCACCCTTACCCAGGGTCACTCTTGCGTGTAACCGAAGGGTGCTGGCCCCGCCGAGCCTCCGCCAGACCAGGAGTTCCGCCTGTACGTGCCCCACCCGTTTTTTGTCCCAGTGTTGCTTTCCAGGGCGTCGCCTCCCTCACTTGCATCTGGGTCGGGCTGCCCCTTTATGTGCTTCTGGCCCGCCCTGGGCCCACCAGCGCATAAACCAGCAGCGCGACAACCTGCAGTCAAAAGCATCCGCCCTCCACTGGAGGAAGAGGAGGAGGAGGAAGAGGAGGAGGAGGAGGACGTGTTGGTTTCAATCCCTGCGCGTTTGCGTTCGTGTCGGTCTCCAGGGGCCGTTGTCGGGCCTTGGGGCCATCAAAAGCATATACGTGTTGGGCGAGGGTGACGAGGACCCGGATCCGCTTGATACACCCTCTACATGATTGCGCGCTCCTCTCCTCCATGATGGAGGAAGGCACGCAGCAATAAGGGTAATGAGGAGGTTAGCAGGATTCACTAATTGGTTTCTCCCCCTTACCCCGGTACGCATCATCGTATCGTACTTTCCCTTCGCCATCCTCCACTCATCCTTCTCTTATTCCTCAAAGTTCTCCTCATGCCCATATCCTGTTTCCTTCGATGCTCTTCCCATCAACCTCATCATCTAGCCACGCTCTCCTACCGCTGCGTCATTATTCCTTCTCATGTGTTCTATGCTTGCTCCTCCTTCCCCCATCGTCTCTTCCCCTCGCCCTCTCCTCATCCACCCTCCTCACCGTCACAACTCGTTCGCTGTTCCCCACCGTCCTCCATCCTCCGCCCCCTTCCTCGTCCTCCTCCCCTTCCTTCTCCCAAGCCTTGCGCTCTCTTCCTCTCTTCCTCCTCCTGGTCCTCCGACTGCCCCTCCCCCCTCCTCCTCCGCCTCGTGTTTTCTTCCGTCCCCTCGTCCTCCCTCGACCCTCCCCACCACTCCTCCCCACCCCCTTTCCAACACCCCCCCGCGCCGGCGGGGAGGAGGGCGTTGACGGCGCGCCGCCAGGGCCGCGGTGCCCGCAGGAGCGGGCTTGCCCGCTTTTTCGTTTTGGGGCCGAACCTCCTCCTTGACCCCTCCCCCCTTTCTCTTCCTCCTCCTCCGCCTCCTCCTCCTTCTCATCCTCCTCATCCTCCTCATCCTCCTCCTCTTCCTCATCCTCCTCCTCCGCCTCCTCCTCCTAACTCCTTAGTCCTCACTCCTCACTCCTCACTCCTCCCCCCTCTTCCTCCTCCTCGTCATCTTCTTCCTCTTCTTCCTCCTCCCCTTCCTCCTCCTCCTCCGCCTCCTCCTCCTTCTCCTCATCCTCCTCACTCACCTCTCCTCTTCCCTCCCTCTTCCCTCCTCCCTCCTCCTCCTCCTCCTCCTCCTCGTCTTCTTCTTCCTCCTCCTCCTCCTTCTCCTCCGCCGACTCCTCACTCCTTACTCCTTACTCGTCAATCGTCCTCCTCCTCCTTCTCCTCCTCCTCCCTCGACCACTCATTCCCAACTCCCCACTCCTCACTCCTGCTCATCCTCATCATCATCATTATTATTCCTCCTCTTCCGCATCCCATTCCTCCTCCTTCTCCTCCGCCTCCTCCCCCTTCTCATCCTCTTCCTCCTCCTCGCACTCCTCCTCCTCCTCCTCCTCCTCCGCCTGCTCCGTCCTCCTCCTCCTCCTCCTCCTCCTCCTCCTCCTCCTCCTCCTCACTCCTCACTCCTCACTCCTCACTCCTCACTCCTCACTCCTCACTCCGTTTGTCCTTCTCCTCATCCTCCTCCTCCTGGTCGTATTCTTCCTCCTCCTCTTCTTCGACTCCTCTTCATCTTCCTCCTCCTCCGCCTCCTCCTCCTCACTCATCTCTCCTCAATCTTCCCTCGTTCCTCCTCCTTCTCTTTCACCTCCTCCTTCTCCTCGTCGTCTCCTTCCTCCTCCTCCTCCTCCTCCTCCTCCGTAGACCTCTCACTCCTTACGCACCATTCGTCACTCGTCCTCCGTCTCCTGCTCCTCCTCTGTCCTCCTCTCCTCCTCATCCCCATCCTCCTCCTCATCCTCCTCCTCCTCCTGCTCCCTCGGCCACTCATTCCTAACGTTCCACTCCTCACGCCTACTCCTCATTCTCCTTCTCCTCCCCCTCCTCATTATCATCATCTTCCTTCTCCCTCCTCGTCCTCATCCCCCTCCTCCTCCTCCTCCTCCTCCTCCTCCTCCTCCTCCTCCTCCTCCGCCTCCGCCTCCTCCTCCTTATCCGTCTCCTCATCCTTCTCGTCCTCCTATTTCTCCTCCTCCTCCTCCTCCTCCTCCTCTTCCTCATCCTCCTCCTCCGCGTCCTCCGCCGGACTCCTTACTCCTCACTCCTCACGCCTCACGCATCCCTCCTCCTCCTCCTCGTCTTCTTATTATTCGTCTTCCTCCTTATCTGTCTCATCCTCCGTCGACTCCTCACTCCTCACTCGTCATCCTCCTCTCCTCCTCCTCCTCCTCCTCCTCCTCCTCCTCCTCCTCCTCCTCCTCCTGCTCCTCCTCCGCCTCCTGCTCATCCCCCTCATCCTCCTCCTCCTCTTCCTCATCCTCATCCGCCGCCGCCGCCTCCTCCTCTTCCTCACTCATCTCTCCTCACTCATTCCTTCTCCTCTTCCTCCTCGTCTTCCTCCTCTTCCCCCTCCTCCTCCCCCTCCTCCTCATCATCCTCCTCATCCTCATCCGTCGACTCCTCAGTCCTTACCTTTTACTCGTCACTCGTCCTTCTCCTCCTCTCCTCCTCCTCCTCCTCCTTCCCCTCCTCCTCCTCCGCCTCTTCCTCCTCCCAATTCTCATCCTCATCCTCCTCCTCTTCCTCCTCCGCCTCCTCCTCCTCCTCCTCCTCCTTCTTGTTTTCCTCCTCCTTATCCGCACTCCTCACCCCTTACTGATCATTCCTCATCCTCCTCCTCTTCCTCCTCCTCGTCTTATTTTTCCGCATCTTCCTCCTCCTCCTCCTCCTCCTCCTCCCCTTCCTCCTCCGTCGACCCATCACTCCGTACCCCGTACTCGTCACTCGTCCTGCTCCTCTCCTCATCCTCCTCCTCCTCCTCCGCATCATCCTCCGTCCTAACTCCCCACACCTCACTCCTCCTCCTCCTCCTCCTCCTCCTCCTCTTCTTTCTCCTCCTCCTCCGCCTCCTCCTCCTCACTCATCCCTCCTCAATCCTCCATATGTCCTCCTCCCTCCTCCTCCTTCTCCTATTCCACCTCCTCCTCCCCCTCCTCCTCGTCTTCGTCTTCCGTCTTCTCCTCCTCATCTTCCTCTTCCGTCGATTCGTCATTCCTTATTCCCCACGCGTCACTCATCCTCCTCCTTTTTCTCCCCCTCCTCCAACTCCTCCCCCTCATCCTCATCCTCCTCCTCCTCCTCCTCCTCTCCTCCCCGTCCTCCCTCGACCACTGCTTCCTAACTTCCCACTCCTCACTACTGCACCTCCTCATCGTTCCCCCTCCTTCTCATCATCCTCAGTCCTCCTCTTCCGCATCCCCGTCCTCCTCCGTCGCTTCCTCCTCATCCGCCTCCTCATCTTCTCATCTTCCGCATCCTCATCATCCTCATCCTCCTCCTCTTCTTCATCTTCCGTCTCCTCCTCCGTCTCCTCCGCCCCCTCCATTGCCTCACTCCTCACTCCTCACTCCTCCCTCCTCTTCTTCCTCTTCCGCCTCGTCGTGTTCGTCTTCCTCATCTTCCTCATCCTTCTCCTCCTCATCATCATCCGCATCCTCCTCATCCGTCGACTCCTCTCTCCGTACTCCCTACTCGTCAGTCGTCTTCTGTCTCTCCTCCTCATCCCCCTTATCCTACTCCTTCTCCTCCTCCTGATCCTCCTCATCAATTCTAACTCCCCACACCTCGCTTATCATCCTCCAGCTCCCCGTATTCCTCATCCTTCTCTTCCTGCGCATCATCCGCCTCCTCACTCATCTCGCCTCAATCCTCCCTCGTTCCGCATTCCGCCTCCTCCGTCTCGTCCTCCTCCTCGTCTTCTTCCGCATCATCAGCCTTACTCATCCTCCGTCGACTCATCACTCCGTACTCCTCACTCGTTACGCTTCCTCCCCGTCATTCTCTTCCTCCTCCCCCTCCTTCCCCCTCGACCACTCATTCCTAACTCCCCACGCCTCACTTCTCATCCTCCTCCTCATCCTCCTCCTCCTCCTCCTCATCCTCCTCCTCCTCCTCCTCCTCCCCCTCATCATCCTCCTCCCTCCTCGTCCGCATCCCCTTCCTCCTCCTCCTCCTCCTCCTCCTCCTCCTCCTCCTCCTCCTCCTCCTCCTCCTCATCCTCCGCATCCGCATCCGCATCTGCATCCGCAGCCGTCTCCTCCTCCTCCTCCTCCTCCTCCGCCTCCTCCTCCTCTGCCTCCTACTCCGTCTCATCCTCCTCATCATCCTCATCCTTCTCCTCTTCCTCATCATCCTCCTCCGCCTCCTCCTTCTCGTTCTCCTCCGTCTCATCCTCATCCTTCTCCTCACCCGTCTCCTCCTCCTCCTCCTTCTCATCACTCATCACTCCTCCCTGCTCCCTTCCTCCTCATCCTCCTCGTCTTCGTATTCCTCCTCATCTCCTTCCGCCTCCTTCTCCTCCTCCCCCTTCTCCTCCGCATCATCCGTCGACTCCTCACTCCGTATTCCGTACTTGTCACTCGTCCTCGTCCGTTATTATGTTTCTTCGTTTTCTTCTTCTTCTTCCTCTTCTTCCTCCTCCTCCTCCTCCTCATCCTCCTCAGCATCAGCATCATCATCGTCGCCATCCTCATCCTCATTCCCAACCCCCACACATCACTAATCCTCCTCCTCGTCCTCCTCCTCCCCCGCCTCCTCCTCCTGCTCCTCTTCCTCCTCCTCATCCTCACTCATCGCTTCTCAACCTCCATCTTCCCTTCTCCCTCCTCCTCCTTCTCCGTCGCCTCCTCCGCCTCCCCCTCCTCGTCGTCGTCGTCCTTCTCCTCCTCCTCCTTCTCCTCCGCCGCCTCTTCCTTCTTCGACGCCTCACTCCTTACTCCTCACTCGTCACTCGTCCTCCTTCTCCTCCTCCTCCCTCGGCAACGCGTTCCTAACTCCTCTCTCATCCGCCTCCTCATTATCCTCCTCGTCCTCATCCTCATCATCATCCCTCCGCTTCCTCATCCTCCGTTTCCTCCTCCTCCTCCTCCTCCTCCTCCTCCTCCTCCCCTACCTCCTCCTCCTCCTCTCCTCCTCCTCCTCTCCCCTCCCTCCTCCTTCTCCTCCTCCACCTCCTCCGCATTCTCCTCCTCCTCCTCCTTTCCTCCTCCTCCCTCTTCATCATCGCCTCACGCCTTCTCATCCTCATCCTCCTCATCCTCTCATCCTCCTCAATCCCCCTAATCCTCAAACTCCCTCCTCCTCCTCCTCCTCCTCCTCCCTCCTCCTCTCCTCCTCCTCCTCCCTCCTCCTCCTCTCTTCCTCCATCCTCACTCCTCAGTCCTACCTCCTCCTCCTGCTCCTCCTCCTCCTCCTCATCCTCCTCCTCCTCCTCCTCCTCCTCCTCGTATTCATCCTCTTCCTCTTCCTCCTCCTCCTCCTCATCCTCCGTCGACTCCTCATTCCGTACTCGTCACTCGTCCTCTTCCGTTTCATCATCATATTGTTGCCCGCGGCTTTTTGTGGCTCTCTTTCGGGCCGCACTACCATTCTCAAGCTTCTCAGGTGTCCTGCCTGGAATGCAGGACCTCGCCCACCATGCAGCGGACGTCCTGAGGTTTGGGGCGCAGGCGCTTGGGGCCTCGCTGGTGGCGCGCGCTTCTGCGCCCAGTTGCGGGAACTGCTCCCCGCATTTGGCGTGCCCTGCGCCGCCGGCCCTGGCTTGCCCTTCCTGCGTGTGCGCGGGCGCTGGCGGCCAGGTGGTGGAGCCCTCGTGCGCGGGCCTCGTGGCGGCCTACGCGGTGGCCGCCTGCACGGTCGGGCTCGCCGTCGGCGCTGTGGCAGGCGCCTTCTTGGCGCGCCGCGCGCTCGCACCGCCTCTCGAGCCTGCGGTTGGCGAGCTGCCCACGGAG